ATTCATTACCATGTCTGGGGTTTCTAAAACAATTTTAAAAAAGTGTGTAGTTGCTGCAAAACTATTTGAGGAATAAGGTATCTGAGAACAGAGCCTGATGGTGATGACATGACACTGTGCAGACAACTAGGCTATTGTTCCCAACTGTTGCTGAGAGCCTTGAAACAGAGGACTGGTTAATGTTCATGAGCGACAACATCAAGGTGAATGTGCATCATATTAAAACTACATTAGCTTTTTTAAAATATATATATATGGGAAGTTCACAAATAGTGAAAATAAAAAACTCAGACACTGCTGTATGCTCCTAGCTCAAAATGAAGATGCACGTATTTAAATGCTTCTTGTTCTTCTGATACCAGGACCCAGAGTTAGTGTTCAACAGACACTTTAACTAATATGAGAGGACAATTATATGCTGTTATAAAAGTCACCTGTTCTATCATCATGTACCTGCGAAGATTTCTTGTTACAAGTGTTAAATAGTATTTATGGTATCTGTTACTACCATGAAGTATCATCAGTTTTTTACTAAACTGTCAGTGTATAAAACTCAAGGAGATAATGATGAAATGACTTGAACTTCAGCATGTTTCTCTGTCTTTTATGTCAACAGTTAAGCCCCTAAGATTTCTTGGAGATCCATCTTTTGAGGCAACCACAAACATCTCCATGTAGATTTTCTTCACACATTTCACTGTCCTATATTTGTCCACACAAGTTCTATATGAACAAATTCATAAACTAGGGGACCACCCCTTAGATGTTTGGGACAGCAAATATCAAAACACATGACTTCACATAAACATGAGGAGAAAGCCAGAGAATGAAGTGATTTAGAATTGAATGACATTCACCATTTTCTCTTAATAATATCTCAGTATGGCTGATACAAAAGGATGTATAAAATAACAGTACATGTCCCCAAGCATCACCTGGAACTTTATTTATTTAAGATTTCTTTATGTATGTATGCAGGACTGGTGTACAGGCCAGAGGTACCAAAAGCGCAATGTGAGAGGATTCATCAGAGACAGAGTAGGGAGCAGAACAGGCAGACTGGTAAGAGTACAACACAGCTGAGGAGAGAAGTGAAGGAGACAGGAGTGATTTGCACGCCCTGTGGTTCACCTCCCTGGCCAGGAACCAAACTCATGCTGAAGCAGCTGCTGATAGCTTCCCAGCACTCTGCTTTAACCTGTTTCAAGACCAGGGAGGCTCCCTTCTTGAGCTGTTAATTTATAGTAACATCTAGTGTTTTTATGTTGGTTTCTGTTCCTTAGCAATATTCTGATTGAAGGTAATGTGTGACGAGTGTCACTAACTTCCTTCAGTACTGCAATCCCTTAATATGAATTGAAATTTCATTATGAATTGAAATTTCATTAAGTTCTCCTATTTTTGCTGCTTTAAAATACCTAATACAAATAGCTGGTGGTTTAAAAATACGTTTTTGGAGAAATCAATCTTCATTTTCCTTTTCGGGATTACTCTCACGACGCACTCTGATGTTTAGGATGATTTGACTTCTGGTGAAACATACTACTGTAAAAAAAATTGACTTCACAATTTTAACATTTCTCTCTGATGTGAATTCTTTGATGTAAAGTAAGACTTGACCTCTCCTTAAAGGCTCTGCCACATTCTTCAATTTGTAGGGTTTCTCCTTAGTATAAAAACTACGATGTCGACTAGATTTACACTGCCAGCTAAAGGCTTTGCCACATTCTTTACATGTGTAGGGTATCTCCCCAGTATGAATTTATGATGTTGAATAAGACTGGATTTCTCCTTAAAGAATATATGCCACATTCTTTATTTGTGTAAGGCTTTTCCCCAGTATGAATTTTATAATGGGTAGAAAGACTTGACAGCCAGGTAAAGGCTTTGCCACATACTTCACATTTGCAGGGTTTTCCCCAGTATGAATTCTGTGCTATCAAGTAAGATATGATTCATTATTAAAGGAATTTCCATATTCTCTACATTTTTAAGTATTTCCCCCAGTATGAATTTATAATGGACACCAAGATTTGACAACTAGGTAAGGCTTTGCCACATACTTCACATTTGTAAGGTTTCTCCCCAACATTAATTCTCTTCTGTCAGTAAGAGTTTAATAATTAAAGGACTTGCCACATTCTTTACATTTGTAAGTATTTTTCCCAGTATGAATTTTGTAATGGTCACAAAGACTTGACAGCCAGGTAAAGGCTTTGCCACATATTTCACATTGGTAAGGTTTCTACCAAGAATGAACTTTCTAATGTTGAGAAAGGTAATAACAGAAGTATACAAAGCCTTCACCACAGTCCGGACACATGTAAGCCTTTTCTCCAGTATGACTCCTCAGATGTCAAGTGAGCTGTGACTGACAATAAAAGGCTTTACCACACCCTTCACATTTGTGCAGTTTCTCTCGCTGATATGTAGTGAGGCCTGAGCAACTTTTTGTTAGCTTTGCCATATCCTTTACAACTATAGGGTTTCTCTTGACTCGTGAGATGTTGCAGAATATTTGAGGACTCCTCAATATGATCCCATGTGGACTTCCTCTCCAATGTTCTGATATTGAAAAAGATTTGACTGAAAGCTTAAGCCTATCCCATACTGACAATATTTTGAATAATCATTTGCATTATAGAGTCAGGGACTTTACATATACTCCAATATTACTCTCAGAGAATGTGTATTGCTGAAACTATCACATGGATCTTTGCTTACAGAAACATAATGATCTGTACACACAACAGATATAAAATGGAGTTTAACCCAACTTGTGTACATATTTGATCACTTGTTGCAGGAGGAAGTTTATGGTGTTCATACTAGTCCCTGCTTGGCAATCTTCATCACAACAATGGCTCTGTCCTTCACATGCCTCTTGACATGTCCAGTCATTCAACAGTTCTAAATTCTCAAAGATGTAGATTCTATAGACTCCAAATCCAACTGTTAGAAACAAATCTGTGCCTGACTGTGACATGGAGACCTGGTTGTCTTGAGAAGACATGGCAGGCAGTAAGATGGAAGTAATAACTACCACACTTACAGCACTCAATGCAAAATACTTTTAATAAGTGACATATAAAATGAATACCATGTAAAGGCCACTGGAATGATGTTAGAATGGTGACAACAGGATTAGACAGCAACACAAATGCTAATGAAATGGAATGGCTTAGGGAAAGGTAAATACATAGCAAATACAGCATAATTCTAGAGCAAAAAGACAGTTTTTCTGCCTAAGGAATGAGAAAGATGGCACCAAAATAAAAATATGAAGAGACGCTGCCCCCACCCCTGTGGCGCAAGTTTGGATCATTGCACTGCAAAGGTAAACCAAGCCATGACCGCTTCAGTGAGAGTTCAATCCCCGCCCATAGATGATCCACAAAGCACAGCAGACCTCTCCTGTCTCACCTGCTGCTCCCCTCAGCAGTGTACCTGTTCAATGCACCACCCTGTCTCTGCTGAATCCTCTTGCCACTCTTTCACCTCTGGCCTATACCCCGTTTTTGTGTACATAAATAAATTGCCAAAATCTTTAAAATATACAAAGAGATGTACTTTGTGATGTTAGCAGAAGTCTAAATGTTAAGAGTTAAATTTTTGTATGCCGTTGAACGGATAGTGTTTTCAGTTTAGAAAAAGCTGTCATAACTTTTCAATCTGCAATGCAATCCCCACTAGACAAAAAGTTACCAGTAAAACACATGGAAAAATAAATGAACAGAGAATGATGTTATATGTACATAAGTTGGAGAACAATGCTTACCAATGTTTATAAATAGTAAGACAAACCAATATACCTCATGTAATGTAAAAAATGTAAAAAATGTGAGAAATTGAATGGAAATCAATGATGAGAAAAGAGAAAGGAATAAAAGCATATTGCAAAAGGCAAAATAACAAACAAACAAAAAACCCACCGTGGTACAAGGAGATGAAGGACAGCACCGTGAAGCTTATTGCGGCACAAGTCCCATCCCGGGAAAGGAAGGGGATCTACATGGTGCAGCAGACTTCCCCTGTTCTGGCCACGGCAGTGGCACACAGCAGTGTTTTTCATTCACCTGTCTATTCTACTCCCCTCTCTGTCTCTGGAGAATTCTCGCAAGTACCACAACTCTGGCTTGTACCCCAATTCTTATATGCATAGACAAATCTTTTTAAAAAATCATACAGAGATGCCACAGGGAGGAAATAAGGTATAGTATGTCTCAGAATACAAGAATCATTTTTTTTTATTTATTTATTCATACAGAACTGGGGTACAAGCCAGAAATGCAGAGGGTGAGAGGATTCACCAGAGACAGACCAGAGAGCAGAACAGGCAGATGGACGAAGTACACTGCCAAGGGGAGCAGCGGGCGGGTCAGGAGAGGTCTGCCGCACCATGTGTCACCTCCGGGGCAGGCGGGGATCGAACTCATGCTGAAGTGGCTTTAGCCTTTTAGTGCTTTAACCCACTGCGCCACCAGGGAGGGCCCAAGAATCATTTTTTAAGAAAGCAAATGCCTCCCCTTTCGGTAATTCGTGTGTATAAAACTTTAAGTCGACAGTCCACTTTAAAATGACAAATGTGTCAGAATGAATTAAAAAATAAGACCAAATCAATCTCACCTATATGACACTCATGATTGCATGATTGCAGAGCACCATGAGGAATGTAAGGATAGAACTAGGTTCTGTGAAAACTGATGATGCAAGTGGAGCCATGTTGATCACATGCGTATCAGAATACTATGAACCCAGTCTAATTCATCGCAGAATTAAAAGTATGCCCCAGGAAAGTACTAGAAATATTGGTAAGTTCTGGTAATACGACATATGCATCAATATTAGGTCTCTCAATGTGGGCTCCACACAAAAACAGAACTGAATGCAAAAGAGGAAAACAATACAATTCAAGGAGAGGTTCAGCCTCTGTTGGGGCAGGAAGGAAAAAGAAGCATAAAGTCAGTGTAAAACCAATGAAAATGAGAAGAATCACTCACCTGAGAAGGATCCATTGTCTGCTGCACTCACAAATGCAAGAAGACTCTGCAGGGGGCACTGGGAGGGTGAATGGAGTCAGCAGGGGAGGACTGAGGCAGCTCCCACCTGGATTCTGGAGTCTCCAGACCAGAGCACTCCACACACTGCTGGGAAAGACCAGTCACCTGGGTGACGGTGTGCTTACACTTTGAGAAGAAAGTACCCAGACGTCCATTCCAGATAAAATTCAGACTTAATATTTACTATAACTTAATACAAACACAAGCCTTGAGGGCCTCACTGGGTAAACAAGCGGGGAAGTCTCACCCCTAGGAAGCTGTCGGCAATCACACCTGTGTGAGTTCGATCCCCCTTGGGGGTAACCCCCCTGGCCCACAAACCCTCCTGTTTCCCTGCAGCGCCCCTCAGCAGTGGGTCTCAGAAGCTCCAACTGTTCTACTGCCGCTCTTTCAAAAACCCTGGTACTTCCTGCTGACTAACAGTTCATGCTATGAACGAAACAAAAATCTCAAGGATGACTCATCACATTCACAAATTTTGGCCACAATTTCTTAGGAAAAGATGCACTTGCTGTGCCCTTTACAGGACGCTCGCAGAAAAGGTCCTGAGTCCTGCTTCCGGGCTCACCTCCTTGCACCCAACCACCCCTTGACGACGACCTGGATTTGCCCTGGAAGTTTGGCGAATGGGACCCGGTAAGCACGTGCACAGGACGGACCGTCCTTCCCCGGGTCTCGCCTTCTGGGACAGGTCAACCTGGGACACCAGGTCGGATCGGCTTGTCCCGGCACAGGGCGAGCACACCTCGGTCCACCCACCCGGAAGGCGGGAAATCTCCCACCAGGGCCCGAGAGCACCGCCTCCCCTCCTGGGTCACCCTGCTCCCCGCAGAGGCCGGGAGGGAAACCCGAAAGGCAGACCCCCCCCAAAGGCAGGCACCCCCCCCCCAGAACCTACGGCCCGCAGGCGACCTGAGAGGCCATGATTGGGTGGGGGGGCTCTTTCCGCAGAACTCGCCGGCGACGCCCCCAAACCGCGCGCCTCGTGTCCCACACTCAGGCAGACGAGGCCTCCCACGCCCCGTGACGCGCCCCACGGACGTCACAGTCGCGCTCGGACGCCGGAGAGGACCGAGGGTGTGCGCGGGCGGTCACCGGTGTCGGGGTGACCCGCCCCTACACCCAGCCTCTCTCTGAGCCTCCCCCCTCCCCCCCCAGCCCACATCCCAGCTCCGGTTCCAGAACCTCGCGGCTCCCCTCTCTCCCCTCAGCGCCTCACCCGCTGCTCCTCTCTCAGACCACCGCAGTCCGCGGACTTCCCCTTCGCCCCGCAGCGCACGCCGGTACTCAGGTCCTCGACTTCACCCACCACCGTCAGGACCACAGTCACGCACTGCTCGCCGGCACCAGCAACCGCAGCTGAGGCGAGGGCGAGGGGGCGGGGCTACGCCTGCGCAGACGACCCTGAAGCCCATTCCGGCGCTCCTGGCGGGAACCGCGTGCCCTCGGAAGACTACATTTCCCACAGTCCTGCGCGCTGCCCACTGGCGCCTTTTGTGCTGACGGGCGCCTGCCCCACCCAGTCAGGGCAGGGCCAGGTGGACGAAGACCCGCGACTTTCGGGGGTGCACGTGCTGGGTCTGGCGGATAAGGAGAGAAAGGGACTTTATTTGGCCCCCAGAAAGGCGGGTTCTCTTACTCCACCCGGCCCCGCGGTGGGGTGGGGGCAGCTGCATCCCTGGGAGGGTGTTAAGGGCAGATCTCTGGACAGCAGCATCGTCAATAAACTCCACGAAAGGTGTTTCTCTTGTTTGTACTTTGCGTTTCTAGTCCCCAGTGAAGACCTGGTTCAGTGGTTCCCAGCGGGGACCCTGAGACCCTAGATGCCATCTCTCTGGGCCTCTGGTGCACCCCAAGGCCACTGGAGGCCGCCAGGGCTGAGCAAGGTGCAGGGGTTATCACTAAATGGACTTTCAGCGTCTTGTTCCGTGCTGTCAGACCCATTTTAAGTTTCTTCTGACTAAAAATTAAGGAAAGGCTGCCCGACCAGGACCAGCAATGCTGCCTGCAGCATCCCCCCCTCCCCCCAGGGAGCCATGGGGCACCGCAGCCTCCGTGGTCTTGCCATCAGCTCCCATAGCTTGTTTTGGTAAATGTGCTTTTCTACTCCCCCCTTTGTCTCTGATGAATTCTCTAACCTGCCGCAACATTCACCTACCCCCTGTTCTTCTATGCCAAAAAAAGTAAGTTATCAAATATACCTGAGGCTTCCACACTAAAAACCACTCAGCTTTATGGACCTTCCTGGTGGTGTAACAAGGTGGTCCCTAGGAAAAGGGGAAGTTCCAGGTTCCCTGCCCCACCCAGAAGGAGGATGGAGCAGCAAGCATGTGATGGAGAAACCGGGCTTGTTTCCTGACCCTGGACTGGTTAAGGCAGATGTGGGTGAGAGACCTGTAGGGAGGTGACTATGGCAGTGTTTATATTGATTTTGATTTTGCTCTTTTCCTCTCAGATTTGTCTGGCCATTTCTGACCCTTTTCCATGGGTCCCGGCCAGAAGGTGCTTTAGTCTTGTGGCAGGCTTTCAGGCCTTGCTTTGGGCCAATCCAATAAAAGATAAATTTTGCCCACGAGGAGATGGGTAACTCCACGTGTTTGATTTAGCAGTTATATTCTTTGTGTTCCGTATTGTATATTCACTATTAAAGTCCCTTCTCATTAAAGTCTTATATGTTTTGTCTTGTTGCGGCAGGTGGCAGAACCCACTTAGTACAGGCAGGTTTTGGGGGGCTTTAGGGGTTTCTCTCTCTCTCCTGTCATATAACAAATTTTGTCCTATAACAGGTTTTGTTCTCTAACAGAACTGGGGTGCCCTATAACAGTGGAACAAGGATCAAAGTCTCCACGCTATCAAGCTACTTGCAGATTCTGTGATATGAGTTTGATCCCAGACTGGGAAACTGACCCACTGGGTCCAGGAGACCTCTGCTGTCACCCCACTCTCCTCCTCACCAGTGGATATCATCAGTCCCACTATTCTGCTCCCTGCTCAGTCTCTGGTGAATCATGCCTTCCCCCCCGCCCCCACACCCCATTTCACTTCTAGCCTAGACCCCAGTTCTTATATAAAGAAATAAACTTTTTTAAAACTGAGCTTTGGGCCCTCCCTGGTGGCACAGCTGGTTAAATCACAGCACTAAGAAGCTAAAGCCATTTCAGCATGAGTTCCATCCCCACCCCGGAGGAAACCCACATGGCACTGCAGACCTCTCCTGACCTGCCTGCTGCTCCCCTCAGCAGTGCACTTCTCCAGTCAGCCTGTTCTGCTCCCCACTTTGTCTCAAGTGAATCCTCTCACAGCCCTGCATCTCTTGCCTGTACCCCAGTTCTGTATGCATAAATAAATAAATATTTTCAAAAACTGAGCATTAGGGTCCTCCCTGGTGTCACAACCAGTTAGAGCACAGCACTATGAAGGTACCTGTCTGCAGCCATAGGGTTCTATCCCAGAGAGGGGAGCTGACTACATGGCGCAGCGGGCCTCTCCTGTCTTGTTCTCTACTACCCTCAGCTGTGTGTGTTTCAGGCCATCTGCATGTTGTCTTCCCACCATGCCTGGTGAATGTTCTTACTCCCTGTACCTCTGGCCTGTACACCCATTCTTATATGCATAGGTAGATATTTAAAAAAAATAAAAACTGAGCTTTATGAAAGCATATATTATAAAAGTAGTTCACACTTACTCTAAACATTCAGATACCACTGTATGCTCTATGTTCAAAGTCAAGATGCAGCCATTTAAGAACTTCTTGGTCTTCTAATACCAGGATCACGAGTAGGTGGTCAATATAAGACTCTTTACTTAGCTAATGCACACACAGAATTTGATGGGAAATTCCCCTGCTCTCTCAAGCCTGCTTGTGAACATTTCTTTTGGAAACAATGTCAAATGATATTCCTGATATGACCATGAGCTACATCAGGGTTTAATAAGTGTTGGTGTGATGCCTGTCTCACCTTGTTCAATGTCTGGTGATGGTCCACCTGGTGCATGAGAAAGCGCGTGCATGACAGGGAAAACCTTTGGTGTTGGGTTGTCTGCAGGGACATTTTATGGCAGTTTTCCTGTTATGTTGCTATATTTTCTTTCAAGTACATGATTGGGGTCTCATGTCCAAATCTTTAATCCATTTAAAGATTTAAAAGGATGGTGTGGTCTTGCTTATAATTATTTTTGCAATTTGCTACCCAAGTTTCTCGCACATTTTCTTTTCAAAGGTTAATTTATTCATGCATAGAAGAACTGGGTATACCCAGGGGGCAAAAAATATTCTCCAGAATTCCTCTCTGGTGGAACAGCGGGTTAGGACGCATCACTTCAAGCTCGCTGCAGCCGCTTCAGTGCAAGTTCGATCCCTGACCCCAGAGTGACAGGGCAGACCTCTCCTGACCTGCCCTCTGCTCCCCTCAGCAGTGTACTTTGTGTCTGTTCTGCTCCCCACCCTGTCTCTGGTGAAGCCTCTCTCCACCCCTACACCTCTGGCCTCTACCCCAGTTATTATGCATCAATAAATAAATCGTAAAATAAAGAGAAAGACCCACCAGATACATGGGTTACCTACTGCAGTAACTGCTGAGGGGAGCATTGGGGTTCTGCATTGGCACCTGTGGGTCACTCCCTGGCCTGGGGGGTCAAACTCGTGCTGAAGTGGCTGCAGACAGCTTCATACTGCTGTGCTTTAACCTGTTTCTCCACGAGGGAGGGTCCAAATTCTATGATTTTCAATGTTCAGGACCTTCTTTTACTCTAATCACAGTTCTTTCACTCTTTTGACATAATAATCCAGGGAAGTATATCTTCACTGTACTTTTTTTTTTTTCATACATTGTTTGCATAAAAAGCAATAAATATAGAATAATAAATATATAGATCCTTAATTTTCTGTGTCAATTTTTGTGCCATGGACTTCATTCATTTATTATCCCTAAACATATTTTAGAGTCTTGTTTTCTCTAAAGATATTAACAGCGGATCTGTGAATAGTGACGGTTACTCCTTTCCACTGTTTCTTTCTGATTTTAGATTCTTTTTATCTATTTTTAATGATTATTTATGCATACAGGAACTGAGGTAAAGAGATATGGGAAGGTAAGATGATTCACCAGAGACAGAAATGGGGAACAGAACAGTTGCATGGCAGAAACACACATCCCAGGGTAGCAGCTGGAGACAGCAGAGGTCTGCTGTGCCAAGTTGGTTGCGTCCCTGGCTAGGTTTCGACCTCATGCTGCAGTGACTACAGATAGCTTCATGGTGCTGCACTCTAACTATTTGTGGTCCGATGGAGCCCCCTTTTTTCATCTTTCTTAACTGATTGTTTTACCATGGATTTCTAAACATTGCTGAGCAACAGTGGTAGCAGTGCTTCCCTGTGTGGCTTCTGACAGGGGTGGGATCGCTCACAGCGTGTCAGCACTGAGTGTGATGTTGCTGGGGGATTGTCATATGAAGCTTTTATGCAGTTAGATAAGTTCCACTTACTGTCTTTGAGAGTTTTTATCATCAGTGGATGTTGGCTCTTGTTGCATGCATTTTCTGCATCCACTAATAGATGTCTTGTGTTTTGTGTCTTCTTTGCTGTTAACCTAGTTGATGACATGAATTAACTTGCACACATTTCTGCTTTTCCTCTGTAGGATTGAGCTCACTTGCCCATGGGGGAGAGGTCAAGCTCACCTCTCATATGGCTGTGTTTAGTTTGCTAGGATTTAGTTGAGGATATTTGCTTCTGTGTTCTTTGGTGACACTGGTCTATTTTTTCCTTCTGTGCTACCTTTGTTTTGGGGATCAGGGCGATGTTGACCTCATGAAATGTGCTGGAGAGTTTTCCTCCTTCTGCAGTTTTCTGAAAGTTGTAAATTTCTTAGGGTCAGCTTCTGTTTTGGGTTCTCTGATTTATTTTCTCTACCTCTGAGTGCTTATATTTCTTCTGCTCCTGAGTGCAGTTAGTCCATGTGCTCAGTTCTAGTCCCCTTTCTTCAGTCTGGAGTCTCCTGACTCTCAGTCAACTGTGCCGGACAGTTCTGCCACTTACACTTGAGCCTGGACCTCCTGACCATCCCCAGTACCATGGGCTCAGCTCCCACTTGAATGGGGTCTTGTAGCTGTCCAGATGCGCCTGCATGCAAAATGATCGCCTCATCCTGCACTCTTCCCTCACATGTGGAATTAGAACCGATTCAGCCCGTGAGCCCGTGACTCAAACCACCAGATTGGGATTCCTAGATGCCCAGATTAGTCTCATCTCAAGCAGGGCGCCCCCTGGCGCTGTGAACTGGGGTCTGCTGATGCGACGTTTTCTTGACATCTGTCCCTGTGAAATGTCTTTACTGCTTCGTTGTCTGGTGGTTTGAGGGATGTTTCAGCATTTCAGGACATCTTCCCCTTCTCAGGAGAAGCCTCCCCTCGGTCCCCTGTGGTCAGGTCACCCGCTGACTGCTCTCTGGCTCCTCTCAAGTTCTTGTCTTCTCTGCACAGTGGCTATTTCTGAAGTTCCTGGACTTGTTTTCTTTCTTTCTTTTTTTTTTAAGATTTATTTATTTGTGCATACAGAACTGGGGTACAGGCCAGAGGTGCAGGAGCGGTGAGAGGATTCACCAGAGACAGAGTGGGAGCAGAAAAGGCAGATGGACAAATACACTGCTTAGGGGAGCAGCAGGCAAGACAGGAGAGGTCTGCCACGCCCTGTGGGTCACTCCCTGGCTGCGGATGGAACTTCTGCTGCAGTGGCTGCATGTCGGGGACTAAGACCAGGACTTTGCCTCCTATGCACAAAACAACACTTGATCAGAACTTAGGAACTTAAGGTAAACATCCCGGTTGAGAATGCAGCACACCTGAATCCCTTCCCCCACTCTCCTTCCCTTCCCGCTCAGCAAGCTTTGGCGCCAAAGAGATGACAACGGATCCCTTCCCTTAAACCCATTGGCCTTTAAGACATTAGACCACCAGACCACCCCCCGCCCGTACCTGCTGTGCCGCCCTCAAGTATGTATATATGACTGTTGCAAGAATAAAGTCTCTCTCCCACGTGTCTCCATTCTTTTGGTCTTCTTCCTCCTGCTGTCCCTGGGGC